GAAAAAATATAATATATCTTTACTAGGTAATTAATACGTTTTGTCTTACTGGACTCAGCATCTTAGAAACTAGATTAATACTATAGTAAGTACCGTTTATTATTTTTTACGAATGAGACAGCAAAACATTTATTTAATTGAGAGCAGACTGTTTGTCACAGGATGCACTGAATCAACAACATTTTCAAATTTCAGATTTTAAATCATTTTAAACCATTTGGTCAACATAAGCACATGGACAGATAATGATTTTTAAACTTTTTTAAGAAGGAAAGCTATCAGCTATTTCGAACAACTGACTTTCTGTCTTAAAGTCTCAAAGAGGTTTTCTTCGATTTTATTGCTATTACTTTATATTCCAGTAAGTATTATGTATAATATGTCTCCAAAAAATGTTCCACATCTGTTAGTTTGTTTATCAATATTCACCAGATAAGTAGTTTGGAAGACCATTCAACCAGCAACTGTTGACTGTTTAGGTTACCGGACGCTAGAGCGCAAGGACATCATTACACTCATCCCTCGCCTGTCACTGGTCAAAGCAACAGAATGGTTACATCCTCGAATACTAGAACGATTTGAAGAGTATTCTCTTTTGAACTGTACTCGTTTAAATCAAAAAGGATAAATTAACAAAACTAGTTATGTATAAAACGAATTTTAAAGTCTTGATGTCGTTTCGCTCTAAAGTCAGTATACCACCTGTTATATGGAATATCCTATACTATACTATCCACTGACATTTTTCCACTATATGTTAATGCATACTAAATTAAACTAAAATAAAAAGACTATTTTCAATATCCGAATGCATTTCTTTTTGTTTCACTTTGCAAAGTAAAAGAAACGCGTTCTTTTCCGTTTTCTATAGAAAAGAAATATTATAAACCGCAAACTAAATTACCGATGCAAATCAAACGCGCTTTTTATTTTCAATGGTTGTTTTTAATATGAAGAAAAAACCTGGAGCGTAACTTGTTGAATGTTATTTAATAGGTGTCTAGTTTTTGCAAACGAAATGAAATTAAGGGGCTCTACCTCTTGGAATTTGATTTTTTTCTTCGAACCTTCGAAACCCTACTGAAATAAGCATAGAGTTGGGTAAACTGCCATGTTTCAGAATCCATCTTAGTTTGCCAAAACTTCAATGTTTTTGGAGGTTTTGTGAAAAAGATTTCTGAAAGTCCTGAAAATTAATCTCAAATTTAAATTAAAATCTTTGCAGTTGTCCGTTTTAACAGACATAGAGCTATGCGATTTTGGAATTTCGTTTTCGGTGCAGAGAAAAGTGCAAAATGCTCCTCCGAGCTCAGAGTTACTTTCAGAGTTCCGACGTAAAATATGTGTAGGAAATGAACGGAAATTTGAAATGAAACGAAAGTTTTGCTGATTAATCCGAATCAAAACGGCGATGAATCGCGATCTTTATGCCGTGTTTCCATAGCAACAAGCCAGAGAAACAACCGATTAACTGTGCGCTTAATCGCGGAAAATCGCACGATTTATCGTCGATTTTTTGGGCTTCTTGCTATAGAAACACAGCAAAAAGATCGCGATTCATCGCCGTTTTGATTCAAAATCGCAATTAATCGCGATTTCGATGACATGGGCAGGTATCAATGTATATATTCTTGAGTTTATGAGAAACATTACGTTTGGAAAATAGGCTTAATTTTAACATCACCAATGGATTTAAACTGCTTTTTGGGCTTACTCTTAATTTAACTGTTTCATTTCAGTTATAATATTATGTAGTATAATACTGCGAATTTATCTCTCTGATTCAAGTCGACTTACCCAATGAAATTTTGTGTCCTAAAAAATCCTCGGTTGTCACCTTCAGCTCTCTTGTCTTATTCAGATCGAGCTGGTTAAAGGAGTTTAATTCGCAGTATAATAACTGGAGTCAGATGGACAGTTAAAGTGTGAGTAAGTCCAAAAAGCAATTTCTGTTGATTGAGTTATAAATATGGGTGAAAATTTTTGTCAAAAAAAATGTGCTGTACAGAGTTGTTCACTAAATTCTTATGGTGGCAGACTGAGTGCATTGTAAAAGTTCAATTATTATTGCTGTTGGATCAAGTATGGAAAAACAGCAACAAATGTACTGAAATTTCCAATTGGATCGCGATTTAAATTTTTTTTTCTGCACATAGTTGAAGGATACAATTCGTTCTTCTATTTGTAGATAAACTTGACCAATAATTCTCTTCTGTTATTTTCTGAAAAGAAAAAACCGATTTATATTTTTTAAACATTATTTTGAATCTTCTTCTGCATGTAGCGACTACTATTTTAGCTCTTGCTAATAATTGTAGTAATGTGCTCCGAAGAGATCCTCTGAACTCTTTTTTTGCTCTCTGGTCTTTTTTTTCTGATCGTTGACATGAAATTGCAGTATTCTCTCCTTTAGACTTCAGCAATTTTTCAAAATTTATCATCGTCTAAGTCCTGGTCTCTTTTTATACTATTCATCGTCCTCACTACTCATCCTTACGCCTTCATCACTCTAAATATGTTCGCATTCCATCTTCTTTTCATGGTTTTTGTCCGCAAACGGTACATTCTTTTTATTATTCAACTATTGCTGACTGGAATAATCTCCTTAAGTCAGTTATTCGTCTTTCTTCTTTAATGTCTTTCCAAACGACTTTACTTCAGTATCTCTTTCAATGAAGTGTTTGTCAGTTTCTTTCATTGTGTTTTTTACCTGCATTTATATGTGCTCGTTTTTTGCTTGTTTTTTAAAAAAATTGTTTACTACTGGTTCTAACCTTAGTTGTCTTCTTTATTTTGTTCTTTTTTATTACTCTTTTGGCGCTGTTTAGCTTGAGTCATTGTTATTACAGGTCGGGGACCTTTGATGACTGTCACTTTTCGTGAATAAAACAGTCTTAAGTCGCTATGAGCTGTTAATTAGCCGGTCATCAATAAAAAATCCTCATGGGAAGTGTCTATATGCTACTTATATACCCGCTGTTTTCTTTAAGACTTCAATTTCACATGAAAAGATATGTTCTCCAAGTTTTGCTTCTATTATAGTATGTTCAGCCGGGAAAATTTGGACGTTCTTTGATTTACACACTCTTACTTTCATTCTATTCTTAGAATTAGAACACTGCGCCTCTTCTTGTTTTCTGCTTCAATCTGAGAGACAATCATACTTAGATGTCCACAGCATTGTGAAACTATAGTTAGACGAATTCTTTTGAAATATTCACGAATATGATGAAAGAATGTTACCGTGAGTAACTATTTCTAAGTAATTTATAGCTGACTAGTGGCAGAGAAGCCTGAGTACCATTCTTTCTGGTATATAACAACACAACACAATAGTTGGTTTATTATTTAAAAATTTATTTGATGTTCGAATTAGGCATTCACCAATTCCAGAATTTGTTTTTTTGGCGCATCTTCGAAAATAATTGTATTTCTCAAATCATTTGTTATCAATTTTTACCCACAATGTACGATTGTAGCGTTGACTTTTCTCTACAAAACAAGCTATTTGAAAATTTTGTGCCAGCATTAGATTAAACATTATAGGCAATTTTTTAAAAAGTAGAATTAAAATTAAAATTGGGGGGAATTGATTAATATTTTCCTTGTTTTCGCCTTCTCAAATGGAAATACAAACTTCATTATACCTCATTCTGTAGGAAAAAACCTACCGAACAATCCTATGTATAGAAAAAAGATTTAAAATAAATAGTCTTAGAACTAGAAATTCTTTTCAATAATCTTCAAAAAAGAATTGGTACATGCCTATTTCAAATTAATCGACTCATCATCAGAAAGATATGTTGTACAAGTAAAAGGCGATGTAACGAAGTGTATACGAAGGATCAGCTGTGGAAACATGTAGATATATAAAATTCAGACGAAAGGATAAAAAAATTGAGGAGACATGAAAAAGAAAGAGTTAAAAGAGAAAGAAAAGAAAATAGATCGGGATCGTTTTTCTTTTTCCTTAAATGCCACTGATATTACTTAAAATTCTTTCGATAACTCGTAATCAGATTTAGGGTTATTATTGGCCGTTAGTCTGTTAAGTTGTATACCTAAATCACAACTCGGTTTATCAATAAACTGTATTTACATATAACCCTTTACGGCCGGATGTTGACTACCGGTAACATCGATCTATTAAGTGTCGAAGGAATTTCGTTCTAAAAGAATACACTTTGCCGATCCCTGTCACAGCGAAACAATAAATATAAAGGGAGGAATATTATTAGTTAATTTTTGACAGTCGACAGAAAAGGAATATGCACAGAAGGGGATATTGTTACTAAATGACTTATGCAGCCGGCTGTAAAGGGATAAATTTGTGCAGTTTAATTTTGTAGCAAACATTGTCAAAAACTTTATTAGTATAGTATTTTCATCAAAACAACTTTTCTCTATTCCCTTATACCTGACCATACAAAATGAATTCATTAACAATATATTTATTTTCAGATGAGAGTATGATATTCAACGATTGGAGGCCATTTGTATATGTATGTTACGTCCACTATCCACCCATGATCCAAATTTTTTATTTTATTTTTATTTAAGGGAGGCATTGCATCATCGGTGGCTGAGCTAGGCAGGTCACTACTTTTATCACTTATCGTTTATTTAAAGCCTTTTTTTATTATTCTAGCTACATTTCCTCTCGATTTGACTAAAACTCGACTTCAAATTCAAGGACAGTCAAGCGAAGGAAAAATAATTGCAAAGAAGTATCGAAATATGTTTCATGCACTATATAAAATTTCCAATGAGGAAGGTATTAGATCACTCTACAATGGGTCAGTTAATAAATATTTATTTTACGGATTTCATTCTTCAAACGTTCCTCTTCATTGTAGGACATATTTCATGCACGATTAATTCCACTTTTTCTATCCCTATATCAACCCAACATGCAAGCATTCACATGTAGCTTAAGAAGGAACGTTTTGGAATGATATCCGTCTGTTTGATTAATTAACGACAAATATTTCAATTATAGTATGTCAGCAGCATTACTTCGTCAAGCAACATATGGAACATTCAAAATTGGTAACAAAAAAAGTATCCTACACAAATATTCACACTTAATATTGTACTTATTTAGGCATTTATCAAACTTTGAAGCGTTTATTTTCAAAAGATATAAGCACTGAAAAATTATACATTAATGTAGTTAGTGGCATGTTTTCTGGAGCAGTGGCTAATGCTCTGGCATCACCGACGGATCTCTTAAAAGTACGATCATCTATGGAAATTATTTCAATTAGTTAATGCCACTATGATTATGTTTTTTTTTCTAGATTCGAATGCAAGCGAACCATCCCAGTATTCAAAACAAAGGATTGTTTCGTGCCATTATTTCAATTGCGCAAAAGGAAGGCGTTCGCGGTCTTTGGCGAGTAAGTATTCTTTGTCTCATCAGATAATCTTTATTTAGCAGTTTTATTTGTAGGGCGTCATCCCTAATGCACAACGGGCCGCTGTTGTCTCAGGTGTTGAATTATCTATCTACGATTGGACAAAAAAACAGTTTCTATGCCGACTGAGTGGAACCGATACAATAAGTACCCATTTTTTATGTTCTTTTGTTGCCGGTTTCGCAGGTGCCGTAGCATCGACACCTATTGATGTTGTTCGAGTAAGCCTCTATATATTTATATCAGCGTTCATAGTTTATTTCTTTTTGTTTTTATCAGACACGTCTGATGAATCAAAGTCAATTGAAAGGACAGTTATCAAATCCATTGAGTACGAATTATAATGGTGCAATTGATTGTCTCACTAAGGTGAGTCTTTCCAATAGTTTAATAAATGGAAAATTGAAGTTCAGTTTGTTTGATTTAGACTGTTAAAAACGAAGGATTCTTTGCACTTTACAAAGGATTTGTACCCAATTGGCTGAGACTCGGCCCATGGAATGTTGTCTTTTTTATTGCTTATGAACAATTGAAAAAGATAAATCCCCGTTCGAGCAATGAGTCACCATTGATAGATAAACCTTCAACTAACCCCGCGTGATTTCACTCAAATTTATTTTTGTTCCCTTTTTTTTTGTGTGTGTATGTATGTGTATGTGTTGAAATTTCACTTTTATTTTTGTTGCGTCACTTAACTAATATTTCCGACATTTATGAAAGCATTTATTTTCTATTTATTATGATCTGAACTGATCTTTTTTATTTGTTACTTTATTCTTACTTATATGTTTTCACCGACATAACATTGTTTTGAGAATAACAGTGAAAAATAAAAAAGTCATCAAATAAATCTCACATAACTATATATTTGGGTCTGTTGGGTAATGTTCGTTCTTGCCAATACTTGAACCTATCGTGTTCTTCGCTAAGAGTACTGAAGCGCTTGCTATATAATGCTCGAAAGAAAGGAACCATACTACTGTTTCAGAAATAGAACGAAAGTGTTTGTATTTCAGAAGGAAAAATTCTTTTCCTTTTTTTACATATCAAAATTTGATGTTTTTTTTTCAGAGAAACCGAATTTTTGAAACTTAGATATTCGGAATCAGCGCGACGATTTACGAGTTGTACGGCGCAAAGAGGTATCTGCGTTTAATGGACCACTGAGATCCGCTGTAGGTTTGCATCGTATCTTGGTGCCTTTAAAATAAAAGGTACCCCATATCGTTACATCAAGAATAATTCAGTGGCTCTCTTCGGAGAAAAATTTCTTGTCAAAGTAAATAATTTACCCAGATTTGTTAATCATATATCGATTCATAACACCCCATTTTTTACACCTAGACGTTCTTTTCATCATTTTTTCAGCTCCTGCCTCTATATAATAGACAAGGGAAACATTCTAATAGTTTTTCAGCACATACGACACCTATATTTTCCCTGTCATGTAAACAGGATTCCTGTAACTCATATCTCACTGATCGAAGATTTCAGAATATAGACATCTTTCTGCGCTGTCTGTCAAATTTCCATTGTTAAAGAATAACTCAAAATTGACCATTTGGAAAATAGCTTTTTCAATTGGCCAGATGTTTTATCCTATTACATACAACGATTTTTCTTTAGTTTCCCTTTGTTTATTTGTTTTGCTTCAAATTTTCCGCGCACGATATATGTATTTGTCTGTTTTCTTTTCTTACACTTATGTGCGTGGGAGAAACGCGAGAGAAGTGAATGTTCGACTTTTAGCAGTGTATTTTACCTTCTTATTATTACTTTGTTTTAGACTTTATTCTGAGTAAAAATCTCCTACATTACTTCTGTCTACGTTACCAAGCGCATGTTGTTTCTAGAGGGAACGATGTGTTCATTAAACCGAGTTAAAAAAATTAACTCAAACCATATCTTTTGATCATCTTTCGTAGTCAAATAGTTATTAGAGATCGTCATTGGCCGCATCCATGATGTGAATTCACGCAACCTTGAAGTTTGGGCTAGTCCCTCGTCAAAAGAAAATACAGATCTAGACAACATTCTGGTCAAGATCAAAATTGGAACTGATATTAGTGATCGAAAAAAATAACAAAAAAGGATGCAAAATGATAAACTTTCTTAAGGTGTATCTTTTAGAAACGCTAAATATTTTTTGTATCATCCGCTTATATTTGAATGGTTGCTTTTTTCTTTCTATTCACACATCATAACTGACGAGGGAAGGCCCTAATTGTGAGATCGATTTTGCCCTCATCTATTGGCTACAAGATGACTCGGATGAGACTAGAAAAACACTGAAACCATTCCGTGCCTATGGTTGTTCCTTGTAGAGATATCGAGTTTTTACTCTCTGCATATCAAAAACTAATGTTTTACCGATTCCGTCTGTAGTGGGTTGAGTGGCCAAAATGTTTTTACAAATAGACCTGATTATCGGGTAGGTGTACCAAAAGTTTCAGCCCAATAGACCCTAAAGGCCTTGAGATATCGAATTTTTCCATTGTATTGAAACGAGTTTTCACAGACATGAAATATCTGACAGTTGGACTAATGAATACGATAACTAACAAAGAAGTGTCCAAAGCAGAGAGCTTGCCGACACTAAATACAAGTGATGATCGTAATAAGGCAACTCTAACCACACTTTATGCTACATTCCGTGCGTCGTATGTTTGTGTCAGTTCATGGAAAAACAAAAGAGCGGAAACTCCTTTCACTATCTATACAATGAAAAAATTCGATATCTCAAGGCCTTTAGAGTCGATCGGGCTGAAACTTTTGGTACACGTACCTGATAATTAGGTCTATTTGTAAAAACATTTTGGCTACTCAACGTACTACAGACGAAATCGGTAAAACATTAGTTTTTGATATGCAGAGAGTAAAAACTCGATATCGCTACAAGGAACAACCCGGGGCACAGAATAGTTTTAGCTTTTTCCAGTCTCAACCAGGTCATCTTGTGGTCAAATGATGAGGGCAAAATCAATCCGATAGTTGGGGTCTTCCGTCGTGAGAATCAAACATCATTATGTAAGACACATTTTTTTTTGGACTAAATTATCTAAAAGTAAATGCGTACAAGCTCTAATTCCTTACTTTATGCAATACATGATGCTTGTGTTCGCTTCTTCACCACTTCTTCCGTACTGCTTATATCTCTTGAACCGACCAACAACCTGTTTTCTCTGTGCATAAGTCAAGAGTAAATAAATTAAGAGTGCAGTAATGTGACGTCATACATTGAACTGGAAACCTGAGTCAGCAAAAATCGCCCCGATCGGTGATAGCTATATACTTATTCTCTAGTAATATGAGCTTTTTTTATGCGATTTAGATATTTGTGAAACAAATTGATCATGAGCGCATTAGATCAATATGTTGATCATATTCGGCGTTTGTCAAGTGACAATAAATATCAAGACTTAGCTCAATCACTATTAGGATCAAATGTTTTTCATAAAAATATTCAACATATTGAAACTATACTGACAACATTTGCATTGCCTGAACATACATTATGTGCTTTGGGTGCGTTGCATACAATTGCTCGTGCACCGAGCATACCAGATTTTGATCGATATTTAACACAAATGGAAACGTTTATTCAGACATGTTCACCCGAACAGGTAAAAGATTAAGAAAGAAAAGTGAAAATACCCATCCTACAGCTACTGCTGTCGGTTTAGAGTGCTAACAAATTAGACTTGTCAGTTATTAGCAGGGCTAGACAACTCCACCATTGGAGTTAATAAAGTAGTTGGAGTTAGACAGTGTATTTGAGTTAAACTAGCTCGAAAACACCGTTAGTCTAACTCTGATTGTTTTTATGGATTGTACCCAAAGTTCTACGGACTTGTAATAGGATATTGCCCCCTAGTTTTTAGTACCCTGCCATCTTCTCCGTAGTCAATAGTTTTTAAAGGTTTGCATCTGTCGAATGAACGATTCGAAAAAACGGTAATATAGCATTGTTGATTTTATTTTTCTCAGGTACAATATCTTCCACATTTTATATGCGATATATGTCATGTGATAACTGAACGTTTACGAAGTCAAAATAGAGCAAGATCAGGTTCGTACGCATTGCTTCATCCATTTTGCTGCAGCAATACATTTCTTGTTCATCTAACGAATGAAAAAAATAAATTTTTTCTCTGTGATATGTATTTTCAACGACATATAAAATGTTATTCTTGTTCAATACACCACAGTATTTCATCGTGTATTCCAATCAAAGTTGAAGACGAATTTTTTTTTATCTGATTTTAGGTATACCATTTCTTTTTCATGCATTAGAATTAGTTCGACGTGAACCTGGGCAATTATTATCGATTCATAGTGATTTGTATCAATTATGTTTATTAGCACAATGGTTTGAACCCGCATTACATTATTTAGAAACTGATATAATTGAAATCAATCGTGAAAATGGTCGATTTGATGTAAAATATCTTTTATTGTATTATTATTATGGTGGTATGATTTATGCTTGTGTTAAACAATATGATCGTGCAATGAATTTTTTTGAAAATGTTCTCACTATACCAGCGAATGTAACAAGTTTAATTATGATTGAAGCCTATAAAAAATATATTCTCGTTAAATTAATATTAATTACAACTTTGTCTACGACAACAAATGCAACAAGTAGTTCTCTAGCTGCTCTACCATCGTATACAAGTCGATCAGTAGTACAAGCTATTCGAAGTTTATGTACAACATATACAGAATTAGCAAATTTATTTAATACTAATGATTTACAACACTATCAAGAATTTATACATCGACATCAAGAACAATTTCAACGTGATAAAAATTTGGGTCTTGTTAAGCAAACCATTCATTCATTTATACGTCATAGTATACAACAATTAACAAAAACATTTTTAACTGTATCATTGAATGATTTAGCACAACGTGTTAAATTAAGATCAGCACAAGAAGCAGAAAAATATTTATTAGATATGATTGAAAATGGACAAATATTTGCATCAATCAATAAAAAAGACGGTAAATATATACAAGAACACTTTAGTCAAAGCCTTAGTGAGTTATTATCTTTATTGAAACTTTGTGTGTAATAATTCATTCATGAGTTAAATAGAAACAGTGATTGTTTTAATAACACAGGTAATATTCATATTAATACTCGCAGCAAAATAAAAAGATCTCTTGTTCTCAGTACACACTGTATTCATTCAAAGTAGGACTTTTTGAAAGGCAAGCCTGTTGATCAATTGTTTTGGCTCAACATGTTTGTTTGCATAAAGATCTGGTCATAACATAATTTGAAACTATGTGTAGTTTGACAGTTATTCACAGCCTTGTTTATTCATATTTTCTCTAGGTATGGTTATATTTCATGGTTGTCCAGAAAAATTTGATGCTAATGCAATGATATTAAAATTACAAGAAGAAACAGAAAAATGTATGACGGCTGAAAGACAATTACGTGAATTAGAAAAAGATCTTGCATTAAGTAAAACATATATACAACGTACATTAGCACTTGCACATGATAGAAGTAAAATGTTATTATAATAACCATAATTCTATGTTGTTGTTTTTCATCAATCTAGATATGCGTGAATAAATCCGGTTAAGACTATTGTGTAGATCTCATGTTATCTAATTTTGTCATTGAGAGATACTTTTACAATTAAAAAAAAAAGATTTTGTTTGTTTTATGTGTGTGTGTGTGTATGCAAATTTTTTGTATTCAAGAGACAAAGTTAACTGGATAAATGTTTTTTTTTTATATGAAAAGAGTAATGAAAATAAAACGGTCAACTTTTTCCTTTTTTCTTTCTAAATTTTGAAACTTGTGATTCATATTAAAATCCGGCAAATATTCTTTTTGATATTGTGGTGTCTATGTCAACTATTCGTGACTTTTTTCTTTTAGATTATTTAAAATGAAACGGGTACTTAAACTAACTTACGTTAAACAAGATATTTTTGCAGTTCGTGTGTTCAATCCTAACTTCATGCAAGAATTGATATTGTGTGTGATAGTTTAAGTTTCAGAATGGTATAATGAGAATTTATATATTCTCGAGTGCGTTTTAGTTCAAGATTAAATGCTTAAACTAAAATATTTTTCAGCCAAACAAGTTTTTTTTTGTTATATATAAAATAGTCTACATAAGTAGAGACTACAAGGTCACCGTAATAGAAAACAGATTTTTTTTCTAAACAATTAACAATGTACATTGTTAAAACGTATATAAATCAAGTAGACTTGAATTTTTCAATAGTTGTTACAAACTTAGCCACATATTTGGAGTGTTTTTACATTATCTATTTGAATGAATTAAAATCAAGATTGAAAGAAGAGCTCATCAGTAAAAATGATTAACACTTGGTAACTTACGTTCATTAACGGCAAAGCCTCCTTTACCGTGATACTTGTCGATCAAATGAATTTTAACTGAGAAAAAAGAAAAATATCACAATAAAAAAAATTATTTTCAACCATAGTAAAAATATATTTGTACTGAATTTATTTCTGCAAAATATTTTTGTTAGAATGTCTCTGTATAGTTTTGAAAACCGATTTAAATAAGAAAAAGAATTAATTTTTTCAACACTATAAAAGTCTCTCAATGATATACGCGTTAGATCAGAGTTGCGCGTGGGATCGACTATTGATGAAAGTTTTTTTCTGAGAGAATTTAAAATTTTTAAAAAATTCGTGCAGAATTGCGTGTAAGGACGATTTCTGTTTCGTTCCATATTGAGTCCTAGGATAAATGTTCTGTGTTATGAACCGATGCTCTGAGTTATAGCATGTTTGTTGAAGACAAACTTTCACTAATTCACAGATATAAAAGAATCAATTTAAAAGAATCAAATGGCATAGTTGAGTACTGTAGTGAACTGTTCAGTCCAAAAATATTTTATAAGAATTTTTGATAAAAATAAAAATTGTAAAGAATTCGTATGAGTCAACTTTTCACATGGTTATAAAAATTCCCATAACAAGTTAACGGTAAAAAAAGAATTTGTAATGTGAGAGAGAGAGAGAAAGGTAACAATTTTGACTGAAAAAAATTGACGGTAAACAAAATTGTACAGCGGGAAAAAGTCGGTAACGATAAAAATAAATTTACTGAGAAAAATTTACCTCAGTAGATGTTATTTTTCTTTACTATGACTGCAGTGTCTGTAAAAGTATTTACCAAAATATTTACTCATCCTTACCCGCCATTTTCTTTCTTTCTGAACTTTGCTTCAAAATCAATTAGTCACCTATGAGGAGACTTGTTTTAAAATTGTTTCTCTGGTAGTGAGGATGATTAACATAAATCTCCAGTTAGTCTTTCCCAGTACATTATTTGTATGTCGGGAGAAAGAGAGAGCTTTTAGGCTAAAAGTATAGAGAAATTCATTTTTTGCTATTTATTTCTGATAGGCAATCACGAGGGAATCTTCTCAGGTGAGCAGAAATGATCTCCCGATCAAAAGCTTTTCTAGTAAAACATTTATTGTTAGATTTAGTTTTCAGTGTAACCACAGTGGAAAATGTGAAATTTTCAGCTTTTCTTTTACCATAGTTTTTATAACTCTGTTAAAAGTTGTTTTTCCGTTTTAGGAACGATTTCATGCAGGTTACTTGATGTGCTCGACGAAATGAATGAATCAGAATCTGTTCAGTTGACAGTTCTTGATTCATCTCCAGAAGTTCGGATTTTGTTCTCCTCTAGAAAGCCGCAATAATCGAAATGACTTTCAGATTCGTGGACAACATCAAAAATAATCCCTAAAAATCTACATTTTATTAGAAAACTTTTAATAATTTGAGAAGATTTCATCGTTAGTACAAAATTAGATTATTTTACAGCTAGCAGAGATTTTCACCAGTTTTGTTATTTCTGACGTGCTTATTCTCTACAGTTCCGGTTGAATCGTGTAATAATCAGCTAATGCTACCATTAAAAGTTGATATAAATGAATCCCGCACCTTTAATTAAAAATGAAATTGTTACTGTCGATCTCTGTAGAGTATAGAGATGAGTAGAGGCTTGTTAAAAAACACCGTCAAAATATAGAAACGTGGCTGTTTCTTGAATAATTCTTTAACAAGAAAAGTTGTAAATCTACGATTTTTACCATCTGACAGTCTAGCCTCGTCCTCATTGACAGATTTGAAAAATCATGTTCAAAACACTATCTGCAAATGTTGTACCTGGAAGATCTTTGAAATAGCAGTTTGGCTTGAATGATTATGAATTTGTAATGTTGAAGAAAAATGCGCCTCGATTGGAAAATCGAACGCAGAATACATCACCGGATTGTTAGACTTGTACTCCACTATTAAACTATCACGACACAGTGTAACAGATAATAATCTCGTTGTTGTTTTTTATGAATTTGTGACAATTATTAAACAATTGGCAATTGATTTACAAAATAAGGCAAATAATAATGATCTTTGACGTTATTTATATAGCGACATTTTGTATTATTAAATAATACAAAATTCTTACCGTAAATATTACATGGAATATGAATGAATGAGAAAAAACCTATATATATATTTGCTGAGAATAAAATCGTAGTTAATTGAATTTGTCAATCTTTGTTTTCCGTACATTCTTTTACAATTAAGAAAAAGCAGTGTGTCAAAAGTTATCCTCTGTTTCTATATGGATCTAGAAAAGCTTTCTGGATAATTGAAATTCGGATTTTCGCTCAGCAATGATAGGACCTGACATTTTTATTATAGATCACTAAATAATGAGACAACTATCATGCAACCAGGTCAAATTTGTTAAAAATTTAAAATAATACAAAGATACTACCCTAGTTTTGCTGCTATTTATTGAAGTGTGCAAAACATATTTTTACATTAACCGAATTTGTAGTCCCGAGCTCGTAAAAAGGTTTCTGTTTCCAGATTTCGTCTATACCTTGTAAAAAGCTGTTGCTATCTTTCAGAACTTAACAATCATAAACGCATTGTCACAACACTGAGCCAATGGCGTGTCCACGAAGACGAAGGACATTAATCGTTGGTACAATGAGATGTTTGAAATGTGTGAGTTAAGATCTTGAAAAATTGTTCTGGCTCACCATGATCTAATTCCTTCTTTTCAACTGAAGAAGATTGTTTCAATGAAAACAAAAATTCTATTTGTGCTATTATGCTTAGTTTTATCTAAAATCATTCAGACTTCAACAGAATGTTTTTTTTTCTTCTAATCATTTGTTTTAGATAAAAGTCTACTTATTTTTTTCATTATGGTTTTATTTATTTATGCATAAATGAGTGAACAACGTAATTCAACATCACCTAGTTTGTTTCCTGCACAACAATCGCGCCCAGAATTACCGACTATTTTAGGAAATTATGTGACAGAACACGATGGAGTTACAGATAAGATCGATGTACGCTAACTGTTCTATAATAACAACTCTTTTCCATTTTTTCGATAATATATTTTGTTTTTATTTTCTCAGGGACAACATCAACGACAAACACAACAACCGTCAGCATCACGTTCAAATTCAAACCAGTTAGTTGATAGGAATGATGATATTATTCTTCTCACTCATAATAATGAAAGTATACAACGTTCAAGACGTCCAACAGATGTATATGCAAGATATCGACCAAACAGACATAGAGAAGTAGGTGAAAACTTTGAATGAAGCGAAAAAAACTGTGCGCAATAAATTATATAAAATGCTCACATTCTGTACATAATTTGTTTTACATATGACGCCTAAAAATAAAGTTCAATTTGAGTTGATTCAACTATAAAGTTCATCTAAGTGTCGTGAAAAAGCCATTTTTGTTCAATGATCTAGTCATTCAAATAAAACAAGAGGAAAAATATCTCTATTCAAAACTCGATTTAGTAAATATAATTTGATTTTAGAACATGTTTAAATATGTTTCTCTACCAATCTAATTTATTGTGTCCTTCACAGAAGATTCTGTAGAGTGACTCCTTGCAAAAAACATGTTTTTGTTTCTTTTTGATCTGCTCAAGAGTTCTGTTATCTTTGCTTCATACATGATCAAATCCAATACTATAGTGTTAACGTTAAGAATAAAACCGTTTAAAAATAAATTAATAAGAGCGAATAAACGAAAATTTCCTATTTTAGAAAATCATATACGTGAAATTACCTATTGTCGGTGTCGCATAGGCGTGACTCAGCTGAAGTATGATTTTACACAGACGTAGTTTAAATGAAGATCCCTTCTGTGACTGCGGCGAAGTTGAGACAATTCAACACTACCTGATGAACTTCCCACTTTCATCTTTGTACTGTTCTTCTCTTTCTTACTAAATAAAGTTTATATCAACTTTCCACGTTTTAAAAGAGAGGGTCTTTTTAACAAAATTGATTGAATTTATTAAAAATAGCGAAAGATTTTAGAAACGCCTGATATAAGTAAATAATTAAAAAATTGTTCTCTTGATCACTCATCTACACACACACACAACAGCAGTCATATCTAAAAACTCAATTCTGTAAAACAAACCAAATCGTTCTCAACTCGTTTGTTATACTAAAAACAAAAAATCTATATATATCTTTTCTTCTACTCTGTGTTTTTATGTTATTATATGAGATTACACTTCCGCTAACTAACTTTCACATTTCTCTTTTCTCTTGTTTCTTCTGCATCATTTTTCTTTCTTGTCTTCAAAGATTGTCTATCTCGATCATTCTTAACAAATTTCTTGCTTTTAGTTGTGATTATGTTTTATAGTTGATTGTGATAGCACTAAACTGAGTACAAAGTACTTGTTGTGGTCTTTTTCAAACTCTTCAATAAACACCGTTCAAACCAAATCCAATGCTTTTTGGAAACATTCTAAAAAATTCCTTTGATTTTTGAAGTAAAAGAAGTGGTATACTTAAAGTTTTAGTTTTGCACTAAATTAGTCATTTCAATGATTTCAGCCGACAATTTTCAATGAAAAATCTGTCTTCTCATTTTACTTCTCTTGTTGAAACTAAAACTGATTATGTTTCATGTGAATAATATCATATTTTTTTCTTCGTTTCTTGTTTTATCAGTCTACGAAAATAAAGAATAGATGTATTTTAAAAAAAAACACTGTTTAATAGGATAGTAATAGGAGAAGGAAGAAAAAAACCTTTGAAAACCAGAAAGGAAAAGTATTTGTCAAAATATTCATAAACAATATTACTGTTAGAGATACACTTTTAATGTCATAAGCCTGAGTTTAATTTATACAGAGACACTTTTAAATGTTATTTTTTTTGTTGTTTTTCATTGACTTTAATAATATCTTAAAACAGAACATATTTTTTGTTGAAAGATAATGGGTGAAAGTAATAGAACGGCTAAAGTATTAAGATTTGTTAGTGGTTTGCAGGAAATATTTAATTCAGAGGAATTCAAAAGAATTTATGTAAGTTCAGCATTTTTGTAGGTGATTCTTATTCGATGTTGTCAATTTATCGTAGAATTTGTTGCTGTGTCAGCTTAAGATTATTCGATTCTTATTTTGTAGATTTGAACATCATTTTATGTTGAACTAATAACTACTTTTCCTATCCTTGTTAATTGAAAGATTTTCGCTGTTTATAAGAACAGTAAAACGCTATAAATATAAAAACTGCATTTGCACTCGCCATTAGAAATTTAGGTGAATGCAAATTAGGATTCTGTGAGATAGAGATAGGGATCGAGATCAATTTTTTGCCATTTATTTTAAAATACAAATTTTCCTTTATTAAAAATAGGAGGAAAAATGTCTATTTCTAAGCCTAAACATTCTATCATCAGTAGAGAGTGAGAACAAATATGGGAGACTAGTTATATTTTTATTGATGTTAAATATGACTATCGTTAGAACTCTTATCTCCATTATTGGTTTATTTGTCGTTGATATCAAATGTTCACCTTTACTTTTGAATTCTTTTTTTTCTTTGCGTCTCTCTAAAACTGAATATGAGCAACATGAAAGTGAGAACTATTGTTAGAATGTACAAACGAATGTCAGCATCAGAACTAAAAGATTCTTCTAGCAGTGATCTAGTATAAATATTATGAATTTCCTTTTTATGAGAAAAGTATTTATTTGGATTAGACTAGTTTTGATTTTATCTACTTTTATCTTTCATTTTTTAGCCAAATTTGCATAGCACTTTTCGTTCATCGTCTAATCGTCAAACATCAAACAATAGTGACAATGATACACATGGTTTTCGTCAATTATTTAATGTCGATGGTAATGAACGTGTTCCATCAACACCAGATGAAGAATTAGCATGGCATTTACAACGTCAAGAATATGAACAAGATGTTCTTGATAACAGAAGAAATCATCGACAACATCATAATCAATTTAATATTAGTGACTATGATACAAACGAATCATTAGAAGCTGCATTTGAATCATTACCAAATAATATGAGTGATGATAATAATTTAGCTCAACGTCTTCAACGTGAAGAAATGGGATTACAAAATTATGTTAGACAGATGCCACATGCTGTACGAGTATTTCCATTTTATCCATTTTTCAATCAAGATCGAAATGCCAATGGAGACGATGATGATAATGATGAAATAGATGTTCAACAACAATTTATGCACGCTCTTATGAGAGGCGCTCTTCACATGCCACATGGTGCATATGGCCGTAGACGATTTCATGGTGGAAATCGTGATGTAAGACATTTACAACAATATCAGGGAGATTTTGGAGCAGAAGATTATGAGGTAAATATGAATTTTGTCTTTATTGATTGTTTTATATAAAAATAATGATTTTTCTTTTTTTTAAAATATTTTTAGACATTATTAGAATTAGATGAAATAACCGGTGCAAATAAACAAAAATTAAATGATGAACAAATTAAGAAAATATCAACAGTAAAATTTACAAAACTCAATGATTTAACAACTGAAGGAAATACGTGTAGTATATGTTTTGAAAATTTTGAAGAAAATCAGTCGTTACACGATTATCCATGTACTCACAAATTTCATAAAATATGTTCAACTCGTTGGTTAGCAGTAAGTATTAGAAATAAATTGAACAAACATGAAACATTTAAATGTTGATCAGATAACAAGAAAACATTGATTCTATTTCATTTTTATTATTAAACACAATAAAAAGTTTCTTATTAATAGATATTTTTAATAATCATCATTATGTGTTATTCAATATAAAAACAAAAATATTATCTTATTTCTTCTAGGAAAATAATGTTTGTCCAGTTTGTCGTGTTCCTCCAGTAATTGTCGAACAAACAGCTCCACAACATCGTTCAAACGTTCATCGTTCTTATCGTCCACCACGCACTGTAAACAATCATAATCGAGATAATGGAACAGACCGAGCATCACATAATCAACGACATGGTGGTGGAGGAAGACGTCCACGTTTTAATTAAGATAATTTTAAAGTATATCCTTTTCGTTATTTGTTTGCTTTTTTGCTGTATAATAAGAACAAAAGAATCTAGTAGCACATTATTTTTTTTTTCTGAGGTCTTTGATCGTACAATTTCAAGTCAACAAAAAAAAAAAAAAATTCTTTTCGTTCATTTTCAAAATATATCTATAAGCTTAAATGAGAGAAAAATAGTCTAGTGATTTTTTTTTTCTAATTATTCTTAAACACAGACACAGACATACACATACACAAGATCATCACGCATATATATTATTTGTTTATGGAATGGGATTGAGCTATTTCTGTCCTTCTTTTTTTCTTTCTTTCTAATTTTGACGCAATTAATATATGTGGAATAAACTTGTGTTATCTTGTTGGACTAATGACGGCTCAGAGACCTTGTTTTCAATTTTTTTGTTTGTATTCTCTATTTCATTCAAGAATTTATATAAATTATGAGTGGCGGTATTCTTTTTATAACATCAATATTCTGTCAATTTATTTCTACAGAATGATATAGTGAATAATAGTGTACTCAGTTACATTCTTTCTTTGTCATAGTGATATGGTAGCGACTAATCGTACGTTTCTTTTTTCTTATTGAAAATTGTTTTACCCGTATTTTGATTCACAGAATACCAACAATATATGTACATTGAACCTTTCAGTTAAAAAATCCATATTAAGTCGTTTTTAACAATTTTTATATAGAAAATATTGGGTTTTTTCCATTACGATTTTTACTATAAAATGAATGATATAGAACGTTTCTTTTCTTAAGTAGTTTAATTAGATATAGATATTCATAAAAACAGTGAAAGAAACAGACGTTTGATCATTAATTCAATTTTTTCTATAAAAAACAAAAAGAAGTACAGAGGGTGGAGAATAATCCAACTATGAAAGTTTTCGTAATTTTCTTGTACAGAATCAAAACATAAAAGTCTGAATTTATACTATTAAAATATGAACTTACATGTTTCAGAAATGGAAATTGGAAATTTAATTTAAAAAAGAAATGGAGCTTTGTTTACAAAAACTGGCTTTCTCTTCTTTTTCTACATTCGCAAGAAAAAAACAGAGATACATTTATAGAAGTCTTAGAAAAAAAAAGATGAACCTGATTATCGAGACTATACTACCTCTAAAATTCGAGAAAGACCAGTTGAGTGTGGTTAAGATAAGATTTAATAAAGCTAGAAAATGTAATGTCATTGTAAAATTAACTGAGAACAAAAAACATCACATTATTCAAGAATCAAATGTGATGAATTGTTCTCATTTTTAGAAGAAACTGAAATGGTTATATTCATGATCACTTTAAGCGTAGCATGTATTTGAATGCTTCTGAGATTTATGTCTTTCTGAAACAAATGGGAACAAGAGAATGAACTAGAACCAAATGAAATAACAAGGTTTTCTTTTGAAGTTTTTAAAAAAAAGTGAATAAGTAAAAAATATCTATCGTTGCTCTAGCAGAGAGACATTTATAATTCTTTTCCTGTGATACGGCAACCATAATACAGATTAACTTAAAAGTTTGGTTAGATAGTTCTTAGCAAATGTGGATCATCTGCAAGGTTTCAGTACATTTGATTAAGTTAACACCGCCCAAGAAATCTTTTTCATTCGAACTTTTCAGGATAGAGTCTGTAATACCTGTATATTACTTACACGAAGTTTGAAGGTTAAATACCACACAGATCAGGAATTAGGAGAATTGTGAATAGATGAATAGATAATATAAAACTTTTGTGCTACGACAAGTTCGAAGAAGTCACCCTCACCGTAAGATATGGACACTAGCTATACAGCATATTTATATAATAAATATAACCATAGGTCTCTCATGATTCTCGAAATTCATACTAAAATTTGAAGATGACTCATACAACCTTTTTACCCATTTTTACAGTAATTATCTCAATCAAAATTGACGCAATCAACTGAAATTTCTCATGATCAATAATAAAATAATGTTGTAAGTAATTTGAAGGTATGTGCCTAATAATGATGTAAAATAAAGGTTAGTTATTGAGCTGACTATTGACTACTACGACTGATTCAACTACGACGGCTCAATGTTCTACGTCAATTTGAGTTGAGTTTGGTTTTAGGTATGTTTGAGAAATTTTGTTTCATATGACCATATGACTCTCTCTTGTCGATTCTCGACGCTAGAAATAATATTTCTTTTCTACATTATTGTTTGTATTTAATATATTATTCTTTTACGTAATCCCTGTTATTTATATATGATGATAAATGTAAACAAATTTTTCAGAATATTGTCAATTGAAAACAGTACACATTAAATATAACCGAAAAAGCATTCTAAACCATTTCAGCAGTAAAAATTAAATATATTCTCTGTAGTATTATTCTCAAATTCAAGCAGTTCTGTACGATTTTGAAAGTTTAGAATTAGTAAACTAATTTTCTAAACATGATAATGTTATCCATCATACTCATTACGAATTTTTATGCCGAATATATCTTTCGACGCAAGCCTATCATATTACATCGAACAGATGGCAACACATTTCCTATATAACCATTGGAAAGGCCATATGTCGAACGATATGAGTTCAACGTTTCACGTTGGCTGCTAGATAGCTATTCGCATTTCTAGAATGTTACAGTTCTATATTACACTTCTATATATTGTCATAGTCATATATACACTGTCAAAAAAGTGACGCAGGACCTGTGGCAAAGTTATAGTATAAAGACATTGATTTTATTTAAAATGTTACATTTTTCTCATTGACTTGAACATTTTGTAGTTAGATCAAGTGTAGCGAGCGATATTTTAAACGTTTTGACTATCAACTTCTGTTGTTACGATTTTCTCTTGCAGTGCGAGATCGCCTCTTTGCCGTTTCAAACAGCAGACTTTTCGTCTAAATTAGGGATTTTTTTCTTCATTTTGATGCCTTGTACTTTCTGTTGAATGATGCATTTTTTGTCATTCCAATCAGTTGCTTATAAAAGTAAACAAAGTAGATATTCTTTTTTTATTTCTTAACAGATGTGCACGTAGGGTGATATGATGTTGCAATAGATATTTCGTAAATGAATTTTTAGTTTTATTAAAATGTAATAGAAAAATGCAGCAATCATTGGTTAAAAATGTGTCAGTTAACGGTTTTACCGTTTTTTGTTATAGTAAAAATGTGACTTGTTAGGTTATTTCGTGGTGGAGAATGTAGCAGAATCAATGGTAAAGATACTTCATTACTCTATCGGATAAAACATGTAATGGGGGAAAATATGACATTTTTTTCACATCATTGGTGAATTTTTAGTAATGAAAAGTGATGTCACGATAAGAACGTTTTAGAATAACTATGGATATAACTGTACCTGCGCTGAAAAAACGTTAGCACGATATATATCCATGCACATAAAAAACGAGACATCATTTTTCACACTGTCACATTTCTCGTATATGGATCTGTACGGAGTGATGACTCACTAAAACTTGCGTAATTCGTTGCTTGGAATTTGAAAAAGTAGTGTACTTGTTTAATTATGTTAACTATGTTGTTCTGTCGGTACTTATTTTTATAATGTATCCCTTGGTTGTTGACATCGTTTAGCTGTCAATAAAGGAAAGATGTAAAATTTGCCATAAATATGAAAAATTTACAAATAACAAATTTTATAGAATTAAAATGAAGTAAACGTTATAATCCTTTAACATGAATAACATTAGAAGAGTTATTCCTATTTTTGATATTGCAAGAGCAAAACTGTCTGCACTATTTGTTTTAGCAGTTCTTATATTTGTTACGTAATTCTGAATTGGTTTTAGATGTCAAATACAAATAATGTACATTTGAATGAATGCGCGACAATGAGAACAAAAAATGAAAACGATGAATTACAGCAAACTGAATCTATGAATAGTCAAATATGCACTCTTCAATCACAAGGAAATCACATTTTATCGACGACCACAATCGAGAGCCAAGGATTACCACCAAGAGAGAACGGTAAAATACTTTTTTACTTTTTTCCTAAGTCGTATTGATTATATCGTATCTACTTCAGATCCATTCGAAACATCAAATGCACATAATTCTAGTGTGGAAGTAATTGACGCAGCTCATGCAGATGACAGTGATAGGTAAAAAAATTATTGTTCCCTCTTCTACTGGAAGACTTCATCTTTGATTTTATGTATCATTTTAGCTGGACTACTGACGATGAAGGTAAGATTTTCACTTCGATGGTATAATTTATATTTTTGTTTCAATTATTGTGATCTATGTGTAGGCGATTTTTACTCAAATAATGAGAATCTTCCAACAGATGAAGATGATGATGAAAATCAATTTGGCGAACCTGGTTTATCAAATTATTTAATTAACATTTATCCAGTAACAACTGCCGAAGAATCATCGTGTGTGGGCAAATTATGTGATATTTGTTTAAATGAATATAAAGAAACAGATAAATTACGCTTGTTACCATGTCTACATCGTTTTCATGTTAAATGTATTGACAAATGGTTAAAAGTAAGTTGATATTTCTAACATACAAAGATTTTGTTTAAATTAACGCATATTTTTTATTTTTTATTTTTCTAGAAAAGCGGCAAATGTCCAGTGGACAGATCTGACCTACGGAAGGCGAAATGGTATACGTGATAGTAGTTGTTCAGAATTTTATATTTTCAAGTCAAACTACAAGAGTAATTGAAATTTTTTATTTTCTTATTGTTGTTATTGCTGTTATACTTTTGTTTTCTTTTTCTACTCTGGGTGCTATGTTTTTTAATGTAATTTTCAAGAGAAATAAAAGCGTCTAAATTGTACGATCTGTTTATTTTCAAACAGCAATAGCAGATGCCAGTTTTCTCTGTATATATCGTACGATTTGCGTATTTTATATGCAATTTTTATATATATAAATACCATCGAAAAGAAAGAATCGATGATGTTTGTGTAATAATTAATTTTTTTGTCGAAAGTATTTGATCTTATCTAACTACACACTATTTCTCTCATCATTAAAAGAATATTTTGCATCTGTTCGTTCTAAGTAAAAAAGTAATGAAGTGTATCTGAATTTTTAGATGATATGAGAGAAAACTTCAGAATGATCGAAAAAAAACTAAATATTTCATATTAAGATTTGAAAATATTATTTACAAAAATAAGCTGAATCAGCTTATTAATAAAAATCTATTTGTCTGGGGTATTATCAGCTTAGCTGATAAGACAAATAGATTTTTATAATTTACCTGTAGAAAGTTAATATCTGCTAGAAACTTCTCAGAAGTTGAATCCAACACTCAAAATTCAATTAAAGTGGTCTATTTATAGAATATTTTTTTTGTGATACTCCTCTCCATAACTCCACAGTAGAAAGGAGTTGAGATTATATACTCGAAATCTTTTCGACGTTTTTTTAAATTATAACTAAACGAAATGTTATTGGTAGTCGAACAATCAAGATTACAAGATAAACCAGAATTGAACCATTACGCCGAAAAATAAAAATTAATTCATTTTTTATGAGATATGCTCACTATTAAATGAAGGGGATAGGAGTTTCAAAAATTTAATCTCAATAGGAACTACCCTGACAAGGTTTTATCCTATAGATTCTAGGTAATATGGCTAATATTGCCAAGCAGGATTGAATCGATAAATGAGTGTAAATAGGGGTGGTACTTTACCTTTACTTTACTTGTAACTAGTAACGAACTTAGTTACTCGTTACTAGTAAAGAAGTAACTAATCTAGTTATTTCGTTACCATTAACGAGTAACTAATTTCGTTACTTTCGTTACTTTCTTGAGAAGTAACGAAAGTAACTAACTTCGTTACTTTACCTGGTAAAGTGACGCCGAGTAACTAGTAAAGTGCCGCCACTAAGTGTAAATACTTCTTAATCAACGTTTTTGATCATGTTTTTAGTTTTAGATAGAGTAACGTGTAGGTTCTAAGTTTTTTTTTCCGTACAAGTATCAGCCAGTATAGTAAAAAGAATTATTTTGATTGTCAATCCACAAGTTGGTGCCATTGTTCGTTAAGACTGTATTTAGAGTATTTGAATCGACATCAACAAGTTAATCAAGCAAATCAGTGTCTCAAGATATTAGATGTTGAGCCGATAAATGAAAGAATAAGAAATCTTTGATAAATGGAAACAACAACCAATAGATATGAAGTATTGACTGCATTTGAACAGTTTATCAAACAGAAATAAATTACCAAATGGATTCAAAAAGTCAATTGTATATGAAATAAAAAAACCTATGTTTATTAATAATTTCAGCAAAATAAAACGAAATTTATCGTTGAGAAGTCAACATGCATAACAAAATATCCGATGGTATTCAAAAATAGATTCATTCCATGAGTTGATATAAGCTATTGACAAAATGAGATTTAAATAATCAAAGAACGAATAAAATTTGATTCAGATTATTTATAGAAGATGGAATCCATGGAACGTATTGCGTTGGAGAAAGGCAGTATCAAATAGTCAAATATTAATTAATCAATCATTATCAAAATTTGTTTTAAATTTTATCATTAAAATTGTCGTTGAGAATTCGATATTGATTCAAGTAAATGACTTCTGTTAATCTACATATCGTAGCATCCATTGCTATTCGTAATAAATAAATCATTGTTCACCTTAAAATTCCAAATTGTTTGTGTTGTAGATTATAAAACAAGTTAAATGAGATGACATTTTTTAATGCTTTTCCGTTATCAATAACAAATGGTACAAATTTGTGTATTGTCTTGAATTAAACATAAGCGTTAGTGACTTACTATCGATAATAGATAAACTTTCTTTATCACCATATCAGTAAAAAAGACTTTTTATAAATTGTTTTTATCAAAGTTATTTTTGCTATAATGCACAAAGTCTTTTTTCTGTAATTCGTTTTTTTTAAAGAGTTTTCAGAAGTTCTGAAATGTTTCCCAAGACGACGCTGTGTGAATCAAATATACGGTCATTTATTTTGTAACATCAAGAAATCTGTGAAGCAATTTTCTCATTATAACAAGATCTGATACAACACCTCACTAGGCATGAGCGGTAACGGTAAAGGATTTTTTTACCGAAGTTTATCGCAGTCAAATTTTTAAGTTTTTACCGTAAGCCGATAACGGTAATAAAATTAATTTTACCGATTTTTTTTTTGGAAAATTGATTTTACCGAATTTTTACAACTACTGTTTTGAATTTTTGACTTTTTCGGTAAATTACCGTCGGTAACGGTAAAAAAGTTTTTTACCAAAGTTTACCGCGGTAAAATTTTGAGATTTTTTACCCATTGCAAATTACCGCGGTAAAAATTTGAAGTTGTTACCGAAGCGTCGGTAACGGTAACACGTTTTTACCGTTACCGCACATGTCGAAACCTCACAGTAGAAAGTTATAAGCATTCTTCTATAAACCTTAAAAATACACCAGTAAAATACATATTGCACTTTTTTGTTACTGAGGTTAATAATTACTGTCGTTCACCAAGTCACATGTTTTCCTAAGAATAAAATAATGTATTCGTAAACTTTTGTTTTGGATAGTTAAATTCACGAATGTAGAGATCAGCATTGAAACTGATAACGAGAAGATTTGTTCGTTTTTTTGAGGAAAGATTGCTGCTCTTTGTACTCTGGAATTGGACATTTTTACATTTTCAACTTGAAATTAGTAACATAAAACAACGGTGAGGATAAGAAGCCTCACAAACTTTATCAAGTGATATTTAACTTTAGTTTTGCACACAAAGATAAAAATTAATCATTTCATGGCTAGTTTGTCAGAAATTAATCACATTTTTTATTATCAACGACTAACTTCTTATGTATGTTTTTGTGTATGTAACTTCTTTTTAAAAAATAAAAAATAAAAATAGAATAGCAGTGGATACTATTACCATTTTTGGTTATGTGCAAATTCTCGATAAAATTCGTTTACTGACTGACTTACAGCAGCTGATTGTATTCCTTCTGTTTTCATTTCTAATTCTCAAAAAGTATTCCATACATGAAGTCATGATTCATTAGGGTCACGTTCTTCTTTGATAAGTAATAACTGCAGAAAAAAAAACCAAGTGATTTTTCCCATTCTTGACTTAAAATATGTTTATATAAAAAATACTATACAATCCATAGCAGAAATACTCGTGTTAAGAATGATTTTGTCTCTTTCCCATTTTATGCGATTCACTTTATGTACAAGAGGTGTATGTTCTTAAAAGTTGTATAAAGTGATCTATGATTATTAAAAAACTGAAAATAACTTCATTTAATATCAAATATCCGATTACATGCTAATCTGTACTTTTTATTGTAGATACATGTCTGAAACGTATTATATTTGACATGTTTATTAATGGATCAATCATCTATTATTTGCTTCTAACTTTTCAAGTTTATCTTTTGCATAACATTCAATGTTTATCGTTAAAACGTCCAGGTAAAATGTCAATAGGCAAAGTGTTTCGTGTTGATAATGGAAAGACAGGAAGGCACTTGTAACGGTGGAACAGAAGAAATCGGCCTCTCAGTATTCTGAATTTGGTCCATAATCCTCACGTTTAAAAATTAAGCTGTTTTTTTACAAAAGATTCACCATTTAATTCGGACGAAGATTTTTTTGTGCTCGGAATTAAGACAGATTTGTGCCCGTTTATGACTTTTTGTGCACGGTTCGGGTACAAAAAAATCTTTTTACACTTATGTGCCCGGATTTGATTGATTTGTGCCCGGTTTGTGTGCTAGAAAATTTTAATAGTAGAACCAGAGATGAACATAAGTTATCCTGACAGATATGGCTTGTGATATACGTCTATATGTTTATGTACAAGATACATAAAGTACTATACAGTATTCACAGACCGACAGTGTTGATCAAGGCTCTTTTCGTAAATTCGATTGATATATCATGCATTAATAGAGAATTTGAAGTAATCATTTGATCATCCTAATTCAAGATAGCCCTATAACTGAATTCAGAAAGAAATTTTCAACTAAAACTTACTCTAAACCATGATTCGGAGAGAGTGGAATTTTGTAGAAGAATTTTCTAATGAGAATGATATGAAATCATTTATAAAACAAAATAATGTTTCAATAAAACAAACCGAAACAATAGCTCTTGGAAAAAAAGTAACATATCGATGTACTCAAGCTAGAAAATATCCTGAATGCGATTTTCAAATTCGTGTGATCTATTACAATGATGAAAAAGTTGCTGTTTCAATGTCTAGTGAAAATAATCATGATAATCGTGTTAGTATAACTCGCGCTCCATCACCTGTTAGAGATATTGTCAAAAAATCAGTAGCAGCTGGATTAACTCAATCTCAAACATGTCGTGTTGTACAAAATGAATACACTAGTGATGTTTCAAGTACACAAGTTTCAAGTTTGTTAAATTATCATCGTTCAGTATCAAGACCGAATATTCGTTCGACTGATGATTTTCGCGTATGGCGTGAACAAGATTCCTTACCATCTGACCAAGCAGCAATTTATACACCATTTGTATCGAA